GAACGCATTCGCATATGCGCCGGACTTTCATCGGGGCGTTAATGCGGCCGCAAGAATCAAACAATTACTCGATACTAAACCCACTATTCAGGATCCTGAAGATTATATTAATTTTGTATGATTATTATTTTAGATTAAATAAATAAATTAGGCTGGGTTAAAAGTCAAAAGTCATTTATTCATATACGAGTAGGTAATAACACAACGTACACTTATGATCGTTAAAAAAGAAATAAACATTAAATGCTTCTAATTTTACATTTACTGCCAGTTCTCAAATCAAGGGCGTTGAACGGAAGAGAAGAACTGGCAATAAACTCTCCGCCACTCTAAAACAATATGAGGTCAGAGTTTTTGATGCCTGAGGACACCATTTCGGTTTGAAAAGCAAATAATTATACTATAATGAATGATTAAACATTTATTATTGCGGGATTCGATAGTTATTACACCTATCTGAAACTGAAATATCATTGTATAATTGTTATTTAGCGCGTTCATAAGCGTAATTTGAACTTAAAAACTATAGTTTTGTTGCAATGAATAGCCCAGATATGCAGACTTATTTTGCTATGGCTTTGCATTTGCAGGAAGCGCGCGGTGGCGCGACATTCAAAAATGTCGAGTTTTCTTATCCAACACGACCCACTGTTAAAGTGCTACGGGGGCTTAATTTGCAGGTATACCTAGTACAAAGTTTGACTCCGGTATATCAAGTCCAATATGTTTTTGATACATCGAAGTCTTTAGATCCCGACAGATAAAATACTAGAGTTGAATGAAACGAAGAAAAAAGAAGATTTAGGTCCAACTAAAGAACTTGCTAAGTTAGGAGACGTAACGTTTCAACTATTAAATAGGCAATAAACATTGCAAGAAATATAGGCACGTAACTTGTCAAGAATTTGTGTTGTGTGGATGTAACTTTAAGTACAAAAATAGTTCTCCGCACCTAACGTTCGCCAACAGTGTATGCACTTTATCGTGTTTATTTCCTTTGCAGATTGATATTGGAAAGACTATAGCTATAGTTGGAGAGAGTGGTTGCGGCAAAAGCACGGTCATACAACTTTTGTTAAGATACTATGACCCTATCTCAGGATGCATAGTCAGTATTATATTAATATTTGACATTCTTTTTAACCCCGATAACATAATTGAAATGAACTAATATTAAATATTTTACAATTATTATTTACCATAGATAATTCAATTCTAGTTTTATATTTTAAATAAAAAATTCTAATACGGTACAGACCCAGAGTTAATGATCATCTTATTTGACGAATAGCCCGAAGGTTATGTCACTTATGTTCAATCATCTAAAAATGAATGAAACTGAAAACGGTCAGTCGTAAGGAAGCGTCCAAGTAGTTAATGATCATACCTATGTAACGAACTTACCCAAGTACAGTAAAAGGTTTCGTGACCACCTAGTCATCTTTAGAAACTATTATATTTAAATAACGAATGATCAATGAAACGTATTTAACCCCGCCCCGCGGTTTTACAAAGGGGGCCCCCCCCAAAAAAGGTAAAAACTGTTCAGTGTCTGTAACACTAAACATGCGATGATCACACTATTTCTAGATGTTGGATGACCTTCCTCTGACACGGCTGCGAATGAGCGATATTCGAGGTTGTTTTGGCATCGTCTCTCAAGAGCCGATGCTTTTCGATCGCACTATTAGCGAGAATATTGCGTATGGTGAAAGTAGGAACGTGACGCAACAGGAAGTGATCGATGCGGCGCGACTCGCTAACATACACGATTTTATTGTATCGTTGCCAAAGGTTTCGCTACTTCTTTGTAAACTTTATTACAATTCCTTTGTGCCTTCTCTCAAGTAAGCAGATTTGAGTGCTTATGTAGTAATAGTAGTTTTATAAGTATCGTGACTTCCCGTCACTCTCCATTTTATTAAAGGGATGGACCAGATCATAGATCAATTCTAAAATCGGACCACAACATATAGATTTGCAAGCACTGTTTAGTTAATAAGATTTAGGTCGGAGAATATTTTTAGTATGTACAGATAGTTTTTAAATGCTATTTTGTAGTTTTTCTTCGCCCGGTCATTAAATGGTAGAAATGTTTAAAATTAAATCATGGTATGTTTAGGGATACGAAACAGATATAGGATCAAAAGGGATCCAGTTATCAGGAGGACAGAAACAAAGGGTTGCGATTGCCAGAGCTCTAATACGACATCCAAAAATATTGCTGCTTGATGAAGCAACCAGCGCTTTGGACAATGAGAGTGAGAAGGTGTGTGTTACCTCCCATGATAAAATCACTTTATTTGACGCAAAAACAATTACATTTTGTATTTATATTCTAAAGGTTATAAAAATACAATAGGCAACGAATCGTTGAATTACACTATAGATTTTGGTTAACCTCGTACATAAAAAAAATATATATCAGCACTAGCGTTTAAACTAGGCCTAGCCTGTATCTTAAACGCTAGTTCCTTCCAGTGTCATTAACAAATTGGTTAAGTTGTTTCTCATTAAATGTTTATTCGGGTTATATGTTTATTAAACTATATGAGGGTGGAATCTAAATAAGTTGTTGCAATTGGTTAGACCGTAGTAAATGTGAGCTTCGAGAAAGATTTTTAAGTCTTTTGGATGAGAAACATGAATTTAGTGTCGTTATAATTTATCTGATTATGGAAACTAATATTTAGTATTAAGATTTTATATTTAAATTAAACTTTGAACACTTTTAGGTCTGAAGATAGATAATATCAAATAATATTAATAATATCTTGAATGTTTACAGGTCTCATCTATCTCGCGAGATTATAAACTGTCGAAAGATTGTGAACCTCAGCGTACTGCTTACAATTTAACGTATTATTATTCGGTAGATTGTAATCTATCGAAGTGAAACCGTCAAATTGTGAAACCGCCATTTCCTACTTTTCTATTGGTTATAAGAGATGTGACATTCTCGGTAAATTAATCGAATCGATTATTTCCTCATTTGTTAATTTTAAAGTTGAACCTAATCGAATCGATTATTTCCTCATTTGTTAATTTTAAATTTAAACCTAATTTAACCATTACTTGTCAAATGTACATACATTACATTAACTTCATGTTTCAATTAGTGTAGGGTTCCGAAAATTTTGAAATTATTCAAAAATAATCTATTTTTTAAAAGTGAAAATCGATTTTTGTATTCGATTTCGAGTTTCAGTTGAACAGTTATTTAAAAAAAAATATTAATATACTAACCTAACCTAACCGAATAATAATACATTGTAAGTGAGTTCACAATCTTTCGACAGTTTACAATCTAGCGAGATAGATTACAATCTAACGGTGTTTACAATTTTACGGTGACACATACATTTTGAATCTGGCTCACCCAAAATTGGTGTGGACCTAAGCTAACTCTATACTAACGTCCTTTTTTTCATTGACTTAATGCATTTAAACGTGTTTGCTGGCTTTTTGGTTAAGGTAGTCCAAGAAGCCCTGGAAGGAGCTAAAGCCGGCCGAACCTGCGTAATTATCGCTCACCGCCTGAGCACAGTAAGAGACGCAGACCTCATCTGTGTGCTGAGCGATGGAAGACTGGCGGAAGTCGGCACACACACGCATCTAATGCAACTCAAGGGACTGTACTATAGTATGGTGGTGAAATAATAAAAAAAATAAAATAAATGTTATTCTATATTGTGATAGGTATAGCGAGTCTGTCCAACTCATTTATAATAACACTACGTTGAAGGAAGGACCAACGCAATAAACCAAGATATAAAATTTTATTTTTAACATTTTATATTGATATGAATTATCAAGATTAAATTATCTATTATTATAAATATAGTCTGTCTTCAAAATATAAATCACTATTTTTCAAATTAATTCTTACGTCTAAGCTTCTGCGAGGTATATTCTTTTTACGCCCGATTCGTGGCTCGTTTGTTAAATAACTGTTTCATAGCGATAGCATCCCGATTTCAATAGTTTTGTACCGCGCGATCCCAGTTGAAAGGTCGTTCGGTCGATCTGAATCAATAAAATATAAATATTGAGCCATTGACAAAAAGATCTGGTTCTTTTGAAACGTTCAATCGCGAACGACAACATCACACATACATATTAGCGTTACGGAACTAGTACATGAGAATTGCATGCAAAAATTTCTGGATCATTATCGCTATTGGAAGATTTGGAAGTTACAAAGAACCGGCGCAGACTATCACACCAAATTATACATAATTTTATCATGTTTAAACAACCTAATTTAGATTTTTCGATCATAAGTAGAATCAAAGATTAAAGAAAAAAAACAACCATGTTTATTTTTTTATTTATATTCATTTCACATTATATGAAACAGATTTGGTTAGTAAAACAGCGACAATCATATTTTAATTTCAAAATGGTGCCGTGTTCTATTTGGCCATCCATTTAAATTGTGACCTGAAAAAAAATAACAAGTCACATATAAAATGATTGAGTTAACAAGTAGGTACGAATTATGTGTTTCATTTGAAAGGCATGTGGAATATTTTCATCAAAAAAATAGAAATCAAAAGTTATCTGTGAAAGTGTAAATATGTTTTTACCATTCTCAGATCTTTATTAATATCATATAATTACGTCCTTAACCTATTGATATATAGAAACTACTTTATTCAGAAAAGATCTCAAAGATGTTTCCTTGAAAGCTTTTACCTTAATTTTTTCTTAGTTTTTGTAAGTTCATAAAAAAACAAGCTGTAATATAATAACTGCCACCACCCACACTATATTTATTATAATGATTAAATAAAGAAGGCTCCAAATAGATCATGATTCAAGGATACTGTTTTTTACATTAAATGCATTATTGTAGGTAATAAAATATAAAACAAAATGCACATCTACACAAACTAACACTTTACTTTAGGTAATTCTGCCAGTGATGTACTGTGAATAATTTCTTGTATAATTCACTTAACCTATCTTTGCTTGCAGCAATCTATAAGGGTTTACCTCTAAGGTGTTGGAGCAAGCATAGCTGCGGCAGTCAGTTTAGATATAATGCTGCCAGCAACAAGATTGCCATAGTAGGCCTGGGCCACTGCTGCACTAGACCCAGCCACAATTCCTGTGCTGCTAAATCCCAGCAAAGGTGCTATGAGAGGGGTAGCAAATCCAGCTGTCCCATAAATAGCAGCCGCTCCAACCAAATTCACAGCCAAAGCACAAAGGAGCCCCATGATTAGTTAACTGTAAGAGCACAATTTAATATAGGCAAAAGATTCCATACAAAGGATTTATAAATACAACAAACTTACAACTTCCTTTTTATCCTACTTAATATAATATGATAGTTGCAAGTATAACATAGATAAAGAACTTTAGAGTTGAGTACTAATAAATGACGAAATATTTCTATTTTCTAAGGTACTCTTACCTTACCTTACCCTGTCTTTTTACAGGAATGTACTAACTTTATAGTCTATAATTTAAAAATGCGTTTTCTATTGACTTTCCTATTCGCTATCGACTACTGGAGTGTTGTACTACAACACACCGGTTGTTCAAAACAAATACCTACTACTTACATTACTAATCATAAAAATAATATTTAATTCACTAATAGGTGGTAGTCTTTACCTGATACTCTTGATAAGTAGTGCGCAATCGTAGTCTTGCCTTGTTAGGTCTCAGCCAGACTCTTGAAAGTAAATACGAACATGCACGGTGCAGTTCACAAAGTACAATGATATGATTCAAATTTGAATTGAATTTAAATAGCCAGCGCGGCGCAGATTCGAATCAAGAAGACCACCACACATGCTTATAAACTCCTCACTTAACGTAACAAAATACAATAATAAATTTAAGACAAAATTTAAACTAAAAACCAGTCTGCAACAGTCTTCGAGTCATGGGACGCTAATGATTCAACAATATAATAACATCAATATAATCGAGTTAATACGTAGTATAGAAATCTTTCTTTATATGAAGTAAGAAAGAATGAATTTTTCACAACTAAAAAAGAATATTTCAGTATGTATTGTTGGAATATTATTTAAATATCGTTACTGTATTTCCCCCTAACATTGGTAAAATTTGAAATCTGGTCATACTTTATAGTTTATACATAAAAAGGTAACTCCCCATCTAAAAGACTAGAGAACACTAAAAAATAAAAATCATGCCAAATGTAAACAAGAATGCGTCATTCCACAGAACACATTTCGCTTTTGCGCATACCTTAAGCCGGCTCCAGACTCACGCGAGGCGCCTCGCCACGAATATTGGACATTGGTTAGAAGAGGATGCACGAGTGGTACCCATCCACACTCGCTTTATTTAGTTGCTCGCTAGTCGCTTCATCTACAAGATTGACGTGATTGGAATGACTGCTTTAGCTACTTTATGTGCCTACCAATATTTTTTTATAATGTAACAGTGGGCAAACGGGCCGTCGGCTTACCTGATGTAAGGTGATACCGCTTGAAAGTGTGTTGCCAGCCCTTTAAGAATTGATACGCTCTTTTCTTGAAGGACCCTAGACAAATTGGTTCGGAAATACGTCAGTACTCAGTGGGCACCTGGTTCCACATATTGTTAGTGCACGGCAAAAACAGCCTCAAGAACGCCAAACAAAACTCAAGCCACCTTCAAAAGCCAACATAAAATTACTGTTCCGACTGATTTGAGAGCGACCGCCGATGCGAAAACCGCGTGGGGGGTCGAAAAGTGAGTTACAGAATCGCAGGTCAGTCGTGGATCAACGGACTTCGAGGTGATACAGATGGTATTTTGTATTCTGCCTTGACGTCCGATGATGAAACTCAGCTGCAAGTAATAATCCGATCAATTTGTCTAGATTTAGTCTACCTCAGTTCGAGATTCAAAGTAGCAGAGTTTCAACTTCAGACACAAGTTTGTTCTGATACTCATCGACATATAAGAAATACCCAGGGGTCTAGCCAAGATGGCTAACAGAGTGTATGTAGAAAGTCGAAAACTAAATGAGGAAAGACGTCGGTCGAAAAGTTTCATACAAAGTTTTGCGTTCATACACTACGTTAAGGTCTGGGCACATCTAAAGAGTAGGCCCACTGCTATCGTCCGCATAGCTATTAATGTTGCTAAGTTGTAACATATTATCATTGATATGCAGAATAGAACAGGGTCGGACAATAAATCGGACATTCTCAAACATCTATATTCATACGGTTAGTACGGTTGACCGACCGCTTACGTGAGACGGAGGCGGATTGTGCCAATAAATAAAAATATTTAAGGATACATATAGAAATATAGGTATTTCATGTCTGAATCTATACGTAGTAATCACTATCTAGAATTATAATTTTAACATTACATATATATTCATTTTATATCAAGATTAAATTATCTATTTATAATGAGTAGTAGATAAATATAATATCGATATAAGTACAATAGTCGGGTTTCGAAATGTAAATCAATAACTTTCTAATAATATAATCTTACGTCTAAGCTTCTGCAATGTATTTTTTTTAACGCTCGATTTGTGGCTCGTTTGTTGAATCATCACTTTTATCACTGTAAGGGCATATTATTTTGTTTAGGAGGGGATTTTTTTAAAAAATAAAAAAGGAGTTTTTTTTTTTTTTTTTTGGGTGGGGGGGGGAGTTTTTTTTTTTTTTAAAAAAAAAAAAAAAAAAAAAAAAAAAAAAAAACAAAAGGGGGAAGAAAAAAAAAAAAAAAAAAAAAAAAAAAAAAAAAAAAAAAAAAAAAAAAAAAAAAAAAGGAAGATAAAAAAAAAAAAAAAAAAAAAAAAAAAAAAAAAAAAAAAAAAAAAAAAAATAAATTAAGGGGGGGAGGGGGGGGCAGGGAATTTTTTTTTTTTTTTTAAATTATTTTTAATTTTTTTAAAAAAAAAAAAAAAAAAAAAAAAAAAAAAAAAAAAAAAAAATATTTTTTTTTTATTTTTTAACTATGGGGGGGGGGGGGGGGGGGGGGGGAAAAAAAAAAAAAAAGGGAAAAAAATAATAAAAAAAGAAAAAAAAAGAGAGGAAAGAGAAAAAAAAAAAAAGGGAGAGAAGTTAAAAAAAAAAAAAAAAAAAAAAAAAAAAAAAAAAAAAAAAAAAAAAAAAAAAAAGAAATTACTCACTAAATTCCATATCGATAGCAATCCCGATTTCAAGTTTTGTACAGCGCGATCCCAGTTGCGTCATTAGCATTACGGATGTTAAAGGAACTAGAACATGAGAATCACATGCAAAAATATCTGGATTGGTATCGCTATTGAAAGTTACAAAGTACTCGCACCGACTATAACACCAAAAATCTTCAAATATAATTTCATAAATTTTATCAAAATAAGTAGAATTAAATAGTGAAGAAAAAAAAACAACGGTGTTTTTTATTTACTATATTAATTTCACATTATTGGAAACAGATGTAGTTAGTAGAACAGCGAGCAAAAATCATATTTTAATCTCAAAATCGTGCCGTGTTCTATTTGGCCATCCGTGTAAATACCTGAAAAAAAATAACATGTCACTTATGAAAGGACCAAGGTAACAAGTAAGAATGATGTGTTTCATTTGAAAATACAAATTAACAGTATTCTTATCTTATCTCACAGTTATCTGTGAAAGTGTGAATATGTTTTTACCAGCCACAGATCTTTATTAATATCATATAATTACGTCCTTAAGCTATTTATATCTATAAACTACTAATAATCATAGAATAAAAATATTCTTAAATTTTCATAACAAACAAGCTATAATATAATAACTGTCACCACCTACACTATATTTATAATAAGATTTTTAACTTAGACAATTTCTTAACAAAATAAAGAAGGTTCCAAATAGATCATGATTCCGTTTTTTGCATTAAATGCATTAATGTAGGTAGTAAAAGTAATTTCTTGTATAATTCACTTAAGCTGTCTTTGCTTGCAGCAATCTATAAGGGTTTACCTTTAAGGTGTTGGAGCAAGCATAGCTGCGGCAGTCAGTTTAGATATAATGCTGCCAGCAACAAGATTGCCATAGTAGGCCTGGGCCACTGCTGCACTAGACCCAGCCACAATTCCTGTGCTGCTAAATCCCAGCAAAGGTGCTATGAGAGGGGTAGCAAATCCAGCTGTCCCATAAATAGCAGCCGCTCCAACCAAATTCACAGCCAAAGCACAAAGGAGCCCCATGATTAGTTAACTGTAATAGCATAATTTAATATAAGCTTAAGATTCCAAACAAAGGATTATAAGTTGTATTATATCTAAATACAACTTACAACTTCCTTTTTATACTACTTAATATATAGTTGCAAGTATAACATATACAAAGAACTTAATGTGTTGAACTGTTGAGTACTAATAAATAAAGAAAGATTTCTAAGGTACTTGTACCTTACCTTACCCTGTCTTTTTACAGGAAAATACTAAACTTTATAGTCTATAAATGCGTTTTCTATTGGCTTTCCTATTCGCTATCGACTTGATTGAGTGTTGTGCTGTTGTCACAGCACAGGCTGTTATAAACAAATAACTACTACACACATAATTACTAATAATAAAAGTAATAATTAGTTCACTGATGTTAAATAATATTTAACATTGGTAGACTTTACCTGATACCTACTTTTGGTAAGTAGTGCGCAATCGAGGTCTTGCCTTCTTAATCGAAATCCAAATTCTTTCTTGGTAAGAGGTGACTTTTGATTAGTAAATACGTATATACTATATGGACGGTGCAGCTCACAAAGTACAATGATATGATTAAAAAATTTGAATTTAAATAGGCAGCGCTTCGCAGATACGAATCAAAAAAATCACAACACAGGCTTATAAAATATAAACTCCTCATTTAACGTGACAAAATTCAAGACAAAATTTAAACAAAAACCAGTCTGCAACAATCTTCAAGCCTTAGGATGCTAATCATACAACAACATATCAACATTCAACAATAAAATAATAACATCAATATAATCGAGTTAATACGTAGTGTCAAATCTTTCTCTAGATGAATTGAGGAAGAATGAATTTTAAATTTTTCACAATTATAAAGAATATTTCATTGTGTATTATTGGAATGTTATATAATAATATATTTCCCCCTAACATTGGTAACATTTGAAATCTGGTCATACTTTATATATATATATTTTATACAACGGTAACTCCCCATATAAAAGACTAGGGAACACTAAAAATAATGCCAAAATATGTAAACAAGAATGCGTCATTCCACAGATC